TTTCCCTTTGGGGCGTATTAGCAAGCCATTCCCATTAATTGCAAAGCTAAAGGTATCGTCTACATGATCACTTGTAAGGCTTGTCAAATGCAATACATTGATCAGACCTCTAGCAGTCTACGGGAACGCGCAGGGGAACACCGATTAGGTATTATACGGAGAACAAATATCGTATCAAGTACTTACCGTTCTTTTTTATTTTCTTTAGATGAAAGGACATTGGCATGTTCATTGTGGAGACATAGCGAGATTTTTGTCATGGGAGGGCGTAGCGGAGCAAAAAACGGTAAATTGTATTTCGAACTAAGGACCGAAATGTTTTAACTCGACTGTCTTTCCCACAACTTTTCTCCTACTATTTTTCTCCCCTCTATACACACTTCCCCTATTTTGGCACCTTTCAACATGGATGCTACAAACGGCTTACCCGTAAGTGAGGAGGTTGAAACGCTGGAAGACGCATTGGCTTGGATTTGCTGCTATCTCTGGCATTTTAGCAAAATAGGCTTTCTGAGTGAGATCCCAACGGCCTTGCTGGTACTTTCTTAACAGTCTGTTTGTTTAGTACCATAGAATCAGTGTCTGTTCCATTGAGGGTGCGAGTGAGAATCCGTAACAGTCTAATATTTCAGAGCAGTCAGAAAGAAGCAAACGGCTCGGCACCAAATTCGAGTCTCCGCATATTGGGTGGTTCGACTCTGAATTTACTACCACATCCGCCATCAGTGGACACCGAATGGAGGCAACAGTTAGCAGAAAAATTGCCTGAGATCGAGTAATTTATACCACTGAATTTTTAATTTATATTTAAGGGCGGTGAAGAGCACTGGTTTGATTTACAGCAAAAAATGCGGTGAAGTGGGTTGCCATCTGCACATCAGGCCGTGAGCAGCGACCCTCGTGCTAAGCAATGTTTTATGAAATGCAAAAAAGCGATTTTTGCGTAATTTAGTTTAAGCAAATGATGCTTCGTTGTTGTTTTTCGTCCTAGAATTGCAGTTTTGTTTGTTCTGCATTCACACTGAACTATGTTGATAGTAATAGTAGTAGAATAGAAGGGAACGGCGATAGAAGCCCAGCCAAATATTAGGTGTACCGAGCAGAGTTGACGAAAATGTCAGAGGGGTTGACAAGAAAGTCGGAGCTGTGAAGTGGTGTTTTGCGGGTAAGCCGAAGCTTTTCTTGTGCTAATGTTCAGTGGGTTCTCATTGGCGGCCTTCCCAGCGTTCGTTTAGCATCATTTAGGTGGCGTGGAATTTTTTCTAATATTGAATCATAAATTAGCTTGTTTATTTTTCCATTACAAAAATTGCTTGGTATTTTGGGAAGCTCTTATCTGAATATTCTGAAATTTGCAGTTTAACGGGCAACTATCAGCTGCGTGCTGTATCGGTGCACTCCGGCAATGCAAACGGTGGTCATTTCATCACCTATCGCCGTGGCATTGGCGCCGATAATGTATCAACATGGTATCGAACAAGCGATGCAGAGGTAATTTGTTTTTTTCCGCTCCCAACATTCCCACTCACCCTGATGAATCATATTTGAAAAATGGAGAGGATATCGTACATATTTTGGTCGTTTTTGCTTAATTCTAAAGTTTTTCCCCTCAAGTTGGGGTTAGGATCATTGGTCAAAACTCCGTAGGATCGGGAATATAATTTTAGGTCATTCTATATTATATGTGATATTGTTGTTTATTAAGGGTGTTTTGTGTGTTGTTATTATATATGTAATATCATGCGATATAGAATGACCTAAAAAAATAAATAAAAAAAAAAAAATGCGGTAAATTGAAGCTTTAAATTTCTTTATGTCTCGTCGTTCTTGAAAACAATTAGTCTGATTTTAGAAGACGTTTATTTTGTTACTTTGATCAGTTATTGTTTTAAAATCAGTTCATTTCTCGTCATTGTCTCAGTTGGCAGCTTCTCCATGCTTCTCTGTTTTGAGCCTTCTTTACTTACACATCTGATAGAGGCGTATTTTCATATCCCCAGGAAAAAAGTTCTCGCCAAGGCAGGAGGCTTGCTACGAAACAGC